GATGGCGGAATCTACGTTTTTCAGGGCTTTTCGTAAAATATCAATATCTCAGCAACGATACAACTTTTTGATTTGCGCCTTTTACCAAAATTTCTTAAAATGTTTGGTCTACAAAAGCCTCCTACTTTGGAAAAGTTTCGAGAATATCGATTGAAGAACGTCGGTCGTGGCTTACGTGCAATGGCTCTTAAAGTAAGATATTTATTGCCATTTTCAGAGTAAGGCGTTTATTGCAATGATTGAGAGTAAACGCCTTACTCTGAAATCCGTAATAACTGCTTTACTTCGAAACTGAGAGTAAGTCTGTTATACTCTAAAAATGAGAGTAAACGCTTTACTCCGTGAGATATTCTCGTAAGTCAAAGACCTAATTTTTGGAGTAAGAAAATCCTGATTTCGGAGTAAAGTTTTTCAAAAAGCAGGGGGATCCCTCCCCCCTTATCGGGGCGCCTCTGTGTCTGCTGGAAGGAAGTTAACTATCCTGATAATAACTGTCACCTTAAAACTTTTCAAAACGTTTTCTTTTCTCCGACTGTCTGTCAATCGGTTACTGTGAGCCATAAGGGAAAATCGCGTACCAGACCGTCCATGTTTTTTGCAAAAGTTCGTTTCGAAAGGGACTAAATATATGAAAGTATGGAGGGAAAACTGAATTTAGTCAAGTAGTTTTAAATAGAAGCTTCCAACGTTTGAAATTCACAATAATGAGCCTAACTTTCATGAAACGATTATACTGCTAGAATTCACGTTTAAGCACTATTCTGAGAAATTTTTTTAGCGGTTTAAAAGTAGCATTACGAAAGTATTTTTAAAATGGGTTCATTACGTTAAATTTCAAACAAACCAAACTTCTGTTCGAGATAGAGCGACGCTGTAAAACAACTCGATCCTCAGAACGGGTTCATCCCCTGGAAATTGCCGTCCCTTGTTTCACACACGCGTGTGAGTGCGTTGTCAAAATAAAGAATTTATAAATGCATTTTGTCGGACGCGTTCTTGTGCTCAAAACACGGCTATTGACAAATATATTCTTCGGAACCCATTCTTACGTCGAAAACGAGCGCTTCAGAGTGCATTCGTTATCAGTCATGTTTGGACGATGATAAGTACGTGTTTAACAGGATGCGTTCCTAACTATTGGATTAGAATGTCGCACCTTTCTTCAGCATAAGAATGTGTTCTAAATAACGTGCAGAAGAGTATCCTTGTTTTAGGCACACAAACGTGTCTGAAGAACACGTTTGGACTAGTTCTTTATTTCGAGAAGACGTGAGGGTTCAAAATATATGAATGCAGAATATCTTTACCATGGGATAGTTAAACTAATCTAGTAGAGTGACAGATGCATTCTTTTCGCAAAAATCCCCTTCCTGAGGTACTGTCATGATTGACACCGGGAAAAACGAGTTTATATGCTTCACTCTGCTGAAGTGTAAACCGCACTTTTTTGCTTCTCTACTTAGTATCATCCACTTCTCAAATGTCAAGAAATAATCGTACCTGCACTGATTGTAAACGTGCACCACAAATGCAATGCTTACATTGTTCCAATTATGTTTGTATGGATTGTGCACAGAAACATGTTGCGAGTGTCAATAATCAAATAAACGTTGCTCAACATTTATTTAACACAAAAATTCATTTATTAGATCAGCTAAGAGAAAATTCAAAAAAAGGTCTGGATAAAGAGTATGAGAAGATGATAAAACAACTAATAACTGAACGTGATCGATGTGAAAGAGAAATTGATCACTTAATCGAAACCGAAAAGCAGCAAATAGCACAGAATAGCAAAACTCTATTAGATATACCATTGAATGAGGTTCCAGCTTATATAGATCAATTAAGTACCAAATTATCAAAGTTAAATGAAAAAACTGACTTTGTCAAAATCGCTAGTGTACCGGGACAACTTCAAATACGGAAATAATATTGGAGGTATTGTAAGTCATTGCATTTTCTGTTACGGACTGGAAGCAAAACGATTTCTGACATTAGTTGTTAGAACGATGATGGCAGATCACACGAATAATGTTCGACCTAATTAGGATATTAAACGTTTTAACTTGGCTTTTGCTATGAAATTTCGACAGAATTTGCTATGAGAATCTATTTGTATTGTCTCTATCGATAAATAGTGATAAATTCTCACGTCACCATTGTTGTGTTAAATGATAAATATGAGAGTTGCTATAATCTTCTTCAAAGGTTCAACGATCATCCACCTTATTTCCGTACAGTGTCCCACAAAATTGATCATACAGTAGAAGAAAAAACGTTGCGAACGTATCTTCTCATGGAAGAAAGCTGCTAAAGAAATTGTTGTTTTATCGATAGATAGAGTATAGTCTATACTACATTTGGGCATACGTACACGTTTTTTATTGAGCTCTTGGTATTCAAAAGAACTTTTTTTAGAATTAGTCGTGTCTTGAGAACCATATAATTAACAATATACTTGCTTGTCTCCAATTTTCTAGACGTTTCCGTATTACTACTGCTCTGTTGCTGTTGTTGCTTTGCTTCTTTGTCGATCTTCTTCTTCTGTTTCATCATTTGACATTTCACTGCTTTTAAGTGTTTATAGTAATTTGATATTTGAAATTTACCACCTTGTATGAGAAGTTTGACATCGGTTCGACCAGTACCGTGGATTGTTGCTTCAAATTGTGATGAATTTTCCTGAATGGCCAGTGTGAAGTCTGAGTCGTAAATCAGTTCAAGTTCATTCATTCTCAAACTGTCCGAATTTGACTTGCCCCAGTTGCTTAATGAATCGACAATAAATTTTTCGTGATCATCTTTGGAGAGAACATCTTTTCTCGAATGAGAAACAGGAGAAGACGACGAATGCTTGGCAATGGATGCTGCGACAGTCTTCGAGCATTTTACTTTCTGTTGTTTCAAATGCAACTCGTTTTTATTACTGAAAGCTTCGATCAAAAATTCCATGTTTCCTTTCACGGCGGCTTTAACAACACGAGGGCCATTGCTGACTTTGAAGGAGATGGTGTCTTTAATTTGATTCAAATCAAGGCAGTCCAATTCCATAATCGAAACACTATCGTGTGTCTTTAAGAGTGACGGCACACTTCGTACGTGTTGAATCTCGAAAAGTTCGGCTTCTAATGGATCAGCAAGCTTCCGAGCAAAATCAAAGAACTTTGTGTCGCAATAATCAAAACAGTCGTCAGGCAAATCCATTGGAGAGTCTGAGTTTTCAAACTACGAGCGTTGTTAATGAATGTTGTTTTAGAAATAACAACGGAGCTGACTCTCAGCAGATAGGAGAATTTATCTAACTATCATTCGCAGTAAACCGAGCAATAGAAAAGCTGTATATGTTATCCTGTAAGTAGTAGAAAGCGTTTTTCTTCTATATGTGTATGCATGCTGCAGAGAAGAATATATTCAACGCTTCCCTGCGTTAAATATTTTCTAATAAATATCAAAAATCGACTATGCAACATCTGCAACGACATTTTTGAAAACAACCAAGCGCCTAAGCAATTTAACGCAAACCTTATAGTTCCTATACCAAAGAGAAGTGATAAATCCCGAATGAGCAAGTACAGGGGTATCAGCTTAATGTCAGTTGCAGCAAAAACATACAGTCGAATCCCAGAATCCGTCGATGCAAAACTCCGACCTAATCAAGCAGGTTTCAGGAAAGAAAGAAGCTGCATCGATCAAATCCACGTCATCCGAAGACTACTCGAAAGCGCCAACAACAAACAACTACCGATTTTTATGACATTCATCGAGTTTAAGAAGGCACTGGACTCAATTAACAGGGAAGTAATGTTCGATTTCCTTAGACATTATGGGTTGCCAACCAAAATGGTGAATGCAATCAAGGCCATCTACTCCCTGAAGAACGCCAGTTGTAACGCCAAGTTCGTCACGTACCAAAGGTGATCGGTTTTGGAGAGGCAATCAGAACATGTTACTGCCTCTCCGGCAAACTGCTCCACCTGCTCAAACGCGATCTCTACCTTCCAAGCCCCTTCCTCTAAAGCCCAACAAGTGGCCAGTGCTACGAATACCTACACCGAAGACTTCTATATCGTCCGTACTACCTCCTCCGCCACCGCAAAACAATTTTGATGCTGACTTCGACGAATTCAGGACAAAAACGTTTACGCAGATGAACGATCTATATCAACAACAGCTCCTTCATCGCAATCGTGTTCTCGAGAATTTTAATTTCGTCACGAATCAAGTCTATCTGCTGGAAAACGAGGTTACAACACGGTGTCGAGAACGTTGTCTCACCTACCCTCATTCCCCTCGTCGATATCCTGCAAGTGCATGTCAATAACGCAGAAGAAAAAAATCGACGGTGTGCAAAAGACAAAAGTTAAAGCTCCTCTCGAAAGCCTGGACCAAGTTTCTCAACTGAACATCGATTACCACTTATATTCTTCAGAAATATTGACCAAGACGAATGTAAAAGCCACCACTATTTCCACCACAATCTAACCTGCAACTATCATTTTTTTAATATATTTTTGAAAAGTACTTAAATGGTCATTATACCTTTTCTTGTTTTATTACGAAATATTTTTCTGATTTGTGCTTCGTTCGCAGTCGACCATATCATCCACAATCACAACGCTGCTGACCTATGGATTTTTGGAGGTGGTGGCTAGTATTTCTCGTGTTAGGACACCCACGTCCCATTTGCCCTCAATATTATATATATCATTTTGTAGCCCGCGAAATTCTCTATCGAATGATGTACAGTAGTTTAGGTTTTCTACAAATCGGCGCTGCCCATGCGCACGATCCTATCCGGATTTCTTTTAAAAAAATATAAACGTATTTCTCTACACATGAAATACACATTGTGTGCATGAAATACACATTGTGTATTTCACCTTTTATTCTGGCTCATTTTATTAGCATGTTCTACAAATCGGCGCTGCTCATGCGCACGATCCTATCCGATCGATTAAAATGTTATAGCTCTGCTAACCAAACAAGACTTTGTGTTACTTTGGTTCAACAACCAAATATTATTAAAACGAGTATTGTCTTAACGATAAGTATGTTTGCTATACGTATGAATCGTTTACTGGACAAATTCAGATTACATTCATTAATGAGTCATCAGTCAGACCGCGTGAGTCATAGATGAAACGTCTTGTGCTCACTTTCCGAATTCTAGTTCGGAGAAGAGTAGACAACAGGCAATCGTACGCTGATGACAGTGCACACAGTGGTCTATTTAGTTACTCGGTTCAATATGTTCGAATAGCTTTGAGTCCAAAACGCTGGCGTGAGCAAAAACGAGAACGAACAGAGATAATTAGACGAAAAGCGAGATGTGTGCATGTATCAAATATTTTGCTCTCTCGCTTCCAATGGGTCTAGTTGCTTATATTAAACACATTATAAAGAGGTAAGGCCTCGTGCCCAAACTCACAGCCGCAGTGACGAGTCAGATGCGTGCGAACTAGAAGATTATTCTTGTAGTTTGTATGCCAGAGTGGCAGTCTTTAAATTCAATTGAAACAAAACACATTGAAAAGTGCTCATTTGAAAAATCTTTTAACAAGAACAATGTGTCAAAGCAACATACAACGTAAAACCATCTACTTTCTTTATTCAAAACAGATCGTTCCGTCTTTTGTAATCGAACTCTGCGTCGCAATATATCAAGAAACAAGGAAAAAACTGCTTTAAGTCCTCCTCATTTTTAGCCATCTTCTCTATGATAAAATAATTCTTAGACCACTTGGCATAAGACATTCTTTTATAGGAACATCAACAGTTTACTTACACAAAGGACGGGGGTCGATAAGAGGCATAAAAGGAAATAAAAGGAAAAGTCAGTCGCGCGGTGCATCAGCTCGTCGCTGGTCAAATGTAAAGATTTCGGATTCAAGCGATTCATCTGATGATGAATATCGAATGGATATTGATGATGAAGAATTGAATTTTAAAGACAAACTTTTGCTAACCGACATTGGTGATCTTGCTGCAAGTCGAAATGTGACACGAAATATCTTAGCACTTTGTTTTATATGTCGTTACGTTTCTTCAACATTAAATGGGAAGACGTCGATGAGTATTTGAAGAGCATTGGTTTTATGATCGCGAAAATTTCTCATAAATGGGCAATAGTGTTTATCGAAGAAGATTAAGAAGAGTTTTCAAATGATTTACGTGGTGGTAAACAAACTGATTCATTTTATGATATGTTTTTTTGTTCATCTTAATTAGTTCATGATGAATTAACATTTAGAAGTGGTGAAGTTAGCTCAAAATGGTGGTTTTTCAAAGAGAATACACCGTTTTTTTCAAAAGGACGTGGTCGAAGTCATATGGTATCTGATTTTCTTGTTCAGCATCCAAGTGGACCCTTTTTTCAACTTAGCGAAGATGAATGGAAACAAGCGCTTGGAAAATATAAATCATTAAATGCGGATAGTGATGTTCTTGAGTAAAACGTTTCAGCTCAACCCTGAAAAGAGACGAAACCTAAATGAGATTTCTACGACAAGAGTAGAGAATATAGAGATAGCCCGCGTTTTTGAAATTTCGATGAGGATGTTTTGGTTTTAGAAATCAAACCACTAGTAGGTACATCCGCGATAGAAAAAATTTTTCATTGTAAGAAATTAAAAATATTCGATGGCACCTCTAACAATTTCTGACTGGTCAGCCCATGATTCCGGGATCTTTTACCTTAAGTTATCTTTTTTAAGTGCAACGCGCTCTATTGACCTATTTTTTAGGTAATTAAACACACCGGGCTCTTTTACTTGACTTTCCGGTCCCCTGCTCCTGAGAGTCCATTCAAACTGATCGAAAAAGTTAAGTCAAAGTTGAGGCTCAGATGTAACCCACATTACACTGTCCGATGAGAGATCATGGCATTCTTGATCTCTCACCGTTTTATACAGTGTACCTGCCATTATCACATATCCTTCTTGGGTATATGATAACAGTGTAGATATGTCTTGTGGTGATTCTACAATCATCAAAGACAAAATCTAGCAATAGATCTACATATGAAGTGAAATTAAAAGTCGACTTTCTTAGCGCCAGAAGGAATGAGCTCTAACTTTGCAGAAAGCTTTGTTTATTCTTCTAGATAATAATAATGTTTGAATAAAGTGTCGAGGTGGTTTTATTTTAAAAAACTCAGCACATATATTTGAAAGAATAAACC